CCAATCTAGATAATATATATATATTTTTAATAGATATAGATATACACACAAATACAATATTACTTAAAATTTGTATGTATACAAACTATTATATATATGCAATAAAATGTATCAGTTTGTGTATGTTTTTGCAAAATTCTGCTCATATCACTGTTACTTCTCAGTCTGGCAACTGTCAATATTTGTCCAAAATTTTATTTCATGAAATTGTTTTTTTTAACACCAGGATTCAATCAAGAAACAAATATCTATGTATATTTAAAACACCTTTTTACAAGCTATGACACCTTGATTTTTCTGCCAAATGAGCTGTTCTCTTGCTGTTAACCTATTGATGCTTTTTAAGAGTAGTGCAGAAATAGTATACAGTATACATCCAGCAAACAGCTATACTCCACAGAGGTGAAGCAAATTTGCCAAAAAAAATTAGGATATTAGTCAGGATGTCAGACACCAAGATTTTTAGCAATTGGCTCCTTTGCCTACTGCTAGATTCCTGGAAATTGTTTATATGGGAATTGCATTTTGCTATGAGGTTTTATTGTAATTTTCAATAAGCATACAAAAACTGGTGCAGATATACTGGTATTGAGATATTTAATCTAGTCAGCATGTGTGAATTAAGGGAAGAGGAGGCTTTTTTGAAGCCCTGGAAGTGTCCTCACAGTTTAATTGCCTCTTCCTCTCTAAGTATCCATATACTTTTGCAAACATCCTTAATTTTGGTATTATAATGCATATTCCAGGATACCGGGAGCAGCTCCATGGGTCCATCCCACCAGATCTTTACCCGCTGTCACCTCTGTGAAGTCTTTCATTCTCCTCTTCTGCTAAGCATGGATGGTGGTGGAGATGAATAGGGTGGTGCACATGCTGGCACCAAAACTTCCAGAAGTGTCCCAACCTGCTGGGATCCTCACCAGGTAAAAAGCATTAGAGCTGCATCTCAGGTTACAGGTCAGGGAAAGAGACAGCTGAGACACAAAGTAGGTGCAGGTCTCAAAAGGGGTTACCAAAGTAAAGTAAGGGCTGCTACTGAATTACCCTCTGACCCATCCTTAACTTGGGGCTACTAATGTTCCATGGCATTATTTTCAGCTTAGGGTCAGGTGGGACACAGTGGACTTCATCCCCATTAGAGGAACTTTATAACCCTCTGACCCTTGCTGAGTCTTATTTTCTTCCTGAATGAAGTAAGGATGGTGCAAGTGCTCACAGCAAGCCCAGTATTGTGCCATATCAGAAAGGGAAATAAACTGCACCTTCCCATTAGCCCTTGGGGAGGGAGATCATCATCAGTTAAAAAGCAGTCAAGCCACCACTGCAGGATACTATTGCCTGTTTGAATGAACAAATAACAATGTTTTATTTTAATTAGTATTAAAGATGTCATGAACCCTACATATCTATTTCTAATTTGAACTGGTGTCAGCCAGTACAGTAACTATTGAGATTAATTGAAACAACTGTGCATTTTGAAGTTTATTTGCAAAGATAATATATCTGTGGAGGGGGTAGAAATGAAAAAGAAACGTGAGCTATTGATGACAAAAAGCAACTTAGGCAGTTATATTAATTCAAATAATACAGTGTATCACCATCTTGAATTTGCATTTGTAGGTTTTGCAGCTTTTCCCAGCCTTCAATTAGGATTTCAAAAATTTAAAGGCATTCATTGATGTGATGTCATTTTAGACCTCTGACACCATGTATTATGGGTACCTCTGCAGAGGTGGTTTGGTTTTTTTTGGATGCACTTGTTTATTGCTAGTGTAAAGAAACCACATTTATTTGTGTGTCTTCATAGCTCAACCTTGCAACTGGGCTAAGGATAAACATTACATCTTAAAAGCCAGACACTGCAGTTGCCATTTTTGAGTTTGCAGCATAAACAATTTTTTCCAGAGAGGAAAGGAGAGATTTTTGGCTTTTGATTGGGGGTGGGGAAAGTGTCTGTATGTGTATGCACGTATATAAGTATATGTTCTGGTTTGGTTTTAGGCAAGTAGTTTACATAAAAAAATAATTCATGGGGGGAGGATATATTGCTAAAATTATTTCAGAAAAAGTGATATTTCTATGCCATTCTACTAGTAGGCTTTTGCTTATGAAGCCATTGCTTTCAACTTCTATAAAAATATTCTAAGGTTCATTTTATGAAGAAGTATCTCATTCTCACTAATATTTTGTGAAAAGGATTTTTCTGTTTATTTAAATGAAGAATGCTGCATAACGCGCTCCAGTGAGTAATCTAAGTACAGTGATGCATTTTAGTTTGCTGAATATCTTGTTGCAAACCAAATTTTAGTGATAACACGCATGCCTGTATTACTTGCTTCAGTTTAAAAATGTAGGTTTATTTACAGTACAGAAAATACTTTGCTTCTTGTGTAACGTACCAGCATGACCTGAAAAGATTTGCTTCCAGTAACAAAAAGATAGAAATCTATTAGATGGGGAAACACACTGATGAAGAAGACATGAACATATAAAAGAATTAAAGGATGTCAATGAGGTGGTAAATTGCTGTCTTCAAGTTTCCCTAATGTTTCCTGTGATAACAACAATAATAATAATCAGGAATAACAGAAACCTTAAAAATAATTTAAGTCCAGTTTTAAATCTGAAATTGGCTTTTAAATATCTATTTTTAATTTCAAATATTTTTTGTTTTTGAGCAGAAAACTTTACTGATAACAAGCATCATGAAGACCCTGTTTCGTGTCACTAACAAAATTTAACACTATGAAGTGATTTAGGATATTAGGATGCTAGCAAATGCTCTAACATAAAATTTCTGTTCAAGATATTCAGAAATTTTAAAATTAATTTTTTATTAAACAGAAATTTTGGTGAATTTTACTGTCTTTATTCCTGCAGATAAATTGTATTTATGTGGGCTTGATTCTGCAAATATTCTTCTAAGTTTAATACATGTGAGAGACCAGAATAAAAATAAAACAGGACTGCTCACATAAGAAAAATTCTATATTGCCAGTCTTAAAAATCATGTGCCAGATTGTGGGAACAACAAAAAAGAGCATGAAGATGTCTAAATTTAAAATTAATTTAGCATTCTTCTCGTTTACTTTCTAGTTATTAAACTACAAGGTCCAGTTGCTGTCAGTCTTTCCCTGCAACTGTCAGATACAGAAACTGGAATTAATTAAAAGAGCCCCCAAAACCCACAATATACGCTCAATATTCAAAGACGTGCAGGAGCTGCTAATAATTTAGTGTTGAGGGAGGTGGATAACCTCAAGATTGCTCAAGTTACTCTTTGCAATATCAATTGCCATTCACGGGTGCTCAGGAAGGTCCTCTTGCGTGGCAAGACTGACGACTGCCTGTTTCTCTGGGAGACAGGTGAAGAGGAAACAGTTCGTTTTAAACAGCAAGTTACAAAAGCAAAAGTCAATGATGAAAGTGTAAAGAAAAGGAAGTACTTCTTAGAAAAAAAACAGACAAGCCACTAGGCAGCATTCAGTTCCATGCCATTTTGGGTTTTTTTATGCATTAGAGCAGTTAGTTAGTTAGTTGTCCTAGCAAGCGGTGCATCATTTGGTACGCAGAGAATTCGAAGATGCAAAGATCATTGAGGAAAGGGGACAAAAACCACACCACACAGACTTATCAACACATTGTATGTAGCTTTGCTTTTTTTTTTCCCCCCTCCTTTTTAAACAGTGTTTAAGAAAAATATGCTGTGTTACATAACAAACTAAAATACTCTCTCAACCTCTTCAGAGTTTAGGTTTTGTTTTCACTTCTTTTGGTTCCACGTAGGTTTTATTTGTTCTTGTTCTACTTTATAAAACCTTTTCTCAACATTAATGGCTTCAGCAAGAAGAAATAAGGGAGAATTATGAGCACAAAAGGGAGCTGACAGTTGTGTATGTATGTTGTCACCTTCTCTTTTGCCACTCATAGGTGGGTAACGGTACAGAAGAAATAGGGCATAATGTTTTATAGAATACAGTCAGACAGGAATTCCAGCTGGCATTCACTAAAGCAAAAGGGAACACTTTCCTCATGTAAAATCATTTTTTAAATCCCAACCGTACATAGCTATGGAATAATGGGGTCACTTATTTTCCACTTGTTCAGTAAAATACTGCAGCAATCATCTAATGATTTTACAAGACAGATGGTTTAAAGCATTGATTTGCTGCAAATTGCTCAATCCATAACTAATGAGCAGGTCTACAGGTTTTCAGTAAATCAATCCATTAGAATTTACAGTTTGCATAAGAACATATTACTCAATCTGTGGACACAGAACAATTTTTTTTTTTTTGGTAACCTTCAGCAGCCCCTTATTGCTGTTTTTTTAAACTCTCTTAAGTTTCTGTGGATGGACTGGATAAAATCCCTGTATTCGAGGGCTCTGACAGCATGCCTGAAAAATACACTGTCCACTTCTACACAGGCACACATGCATCCCATGTCAAGTCCTAGATTCCCTCGTAGAAGACAGTTAACATCCAAGAAGGCATGACGAGACAACAAATGGAATTCAGTCTCTGTCACCTGTAGCACTAAAACTCTGCCCCAATTTGAAGGTGGATTATATTCTTTACACCTGCAAGAGTGTGATGTCAAATGGCAACTGTTATTTGGACCCACACAATTCTTCATAACAAGCTGAAATCTCTCCTGTATGAAAAAAGAATAGCAAAGGCAAAAACCTCTATGGATTGGGTGACAGGACTTTTGTCACATATCTGCAGTATAGAAACAGGAACTTGAGAACTATGCTTGCTAACAGATCAAGTTCTAGATTACTTTATTACTGGTGATGCCTGTATGTTTGTACCATGTTTTCTCCAGGCTTTGTAAGAAAAGGGTCAGTTCTATCATTATCAATTACTACAACAAGATCATTTTAGGCAAAACAGTTACAAGCAAGCAGAAGATCAAATCCTGTCAATGAATTCATAGACGACTCTGAAAAAACATTGTATTGGTTGTTACAAAAGAGCAATGTGGCTGGAGGGCTGTTAGTATGGGAGAGTTGAATCATCCCACTCCAACTGCTCTTGCCTGGTGCCATTCTGTTTGTCTCCCTTTTGGACAATCACTTCCTCTTCCTCCTCCTCCTCACTTTCATCTGATTCAGCACTGGTTGTGTCTTCCTCTTCATCTTCTATGTCGTCTTCCTCACTCTCCTCTTCTTTCTGGTGAGGCTTTTCATATTTCTACAGTACAATTAAAGAAATGGAGACAGTAGAAGAAAAGTGCCTTCTTGCTAACCAGTGGCTGTGAGAATGTGAGCATTTATTCCACTTTTGGAAATGCTAACATGCTGGGAAAATCTGCTTTCAGTCATTATGAGACTATTATACAATTTGGTAGCAAATATTCAAAAAATACTGTAACAAGAACAGAATGTCAATAAGCAATATCTTTGTTAGTCAAGCTGCCAAAATGTAACACTCCAATGTCAGTTTCTTTAAACTGCTGATCATTTCCCCTCCTTTTAGTGTATTAGTGCTTACATTAAACAGTTAAAAACAAAGTAACTATATCATCTTGGGTACCTAGGGTGAAAATATGAGTGGAGAGGAAGTAGTGTTGTACCCAAGAATTCTTCACCATTCTATTTAGTAATTATATATCATGCTAAATATTAAGTGCTCAATTATATATTATCATGGTATGCAGAGCTGAAAACTGAGATGGGGTCCTGAGTCTACATGCATACAACTGTTCTGCCAGGCCTAAACAAGTGTACTCTGGAAGAGGCTTAAAATTCACTGCTGAGTAAGCTACCAGCCCAGACAGTAACTCCTGGTAGTATCATGGTATAACACTATGCCTCAGTTATTGTACCTCCATAGGGTTGACGGTAATAGTCAGAGCAGAATCATCCCAATCCATTTCATTTTCTTTACTTCCTTCGTTGTCTGTAGAGCTGTGCTGATGAGCTGTCCAAATTCGATAGACCCCCAAGGTTATGATGAAAATGAGTATGCTCACACAGATTATGATAATGATAGTAGCCACACTTGGAACAACTGGAACAAAACATGGAAAAGGGAATGGGCTTATATTTGTGGAAAAAATTACCTACAAAACACTAAATACATTGTCTGTTTTTTTCCCCTCAGCACCTCTTCCTTTGCATTGAGAATCAACACAGTCACCTGCCATGTGCCTGGGATTACAGAAACTGTTGACAAGTGCCCACCTACTAAGGCAGAGCATACATGAATGGTGTTTACAGATATCTTATAATGAGTATTATAAACCATAACTAAAAAAAAAGTGATTATGCCTAGCACTTGTTCTTTAAGGCACTTTATTACAGAAGACAAGTAGTCAATCAGTACAGAATCAATTAGTTTCAGAACCAGTGTTTTTGCAATATGGTTCAGTTATGTTACCTGCATGTTGTCCCCTTCTGATTACAGCTGAGGCATTAACCTCACTTGTGAGAAAAAGTATATCTTAAAGCTTTTATTTTCAAAGGCTTCAAACACTTGCACTGTGGATTTAAATCTCAATCTCCAAGAAATAAAATAACATATTGCCACTCAATTTGCCTGTGTTACAACCTTCCTGGGAGACTCTTGAGAATTCAAGACATTTTTTCTCACTGTTCTGTTGCACTCTGAAAAGTCTTTGTCTCCACCTAGTCACAGGAAGAAATCTCCCTGAATTATTCTTATATTATCAGCTCCATAATTAGATTAGTGGAGAAGTGCTGCCACTTTCTATGTACCTTTGCTATACAGGTACTGCAGTTCCAGGAGCTATAGTAGTTCTGTACCCCATTTTATTGCGTTGCCCTACCTGTAAGAATGGAACTGTGAAATCAGAAAAATATTAAAGAAGAAAGAACTAGTTTGCAATAGTTCATTTTGTAAAAATTCAGTTTCATTTTAGTTAAATGTCTGTACAAGTGTACAGAAAAATACAGTAACTTTCTAAGCATAACTGTATATAAGTGCTTATAACTACCTACATTTTACATTAGCTTTACTTTTTACTTATGTATTATTCAGCTAAAAGGATTTCAGAATCCAGCATTTAAACAGATATCTTTGCCCTGGGTTTAACTAACTTCATTGAAAAGGCTTCAGATTTGGCTATATATTTTTAACTCATATCGTCTAAAATTTAAATTCTGTATTTAATATATACTAATGTGCCCTGCACATGGCTAGGTGGACCTATCTTCTCTCCAGAGAGCTTCAAACTGAGGCCTGTACAGCAGCTCACACAAGCACTGCAGCAATTATATATTTAAAAAATAATACAAACTTCTCTTCTTTTTGCTTAGAAAGGGGTGGGCAGAAAATAATATGCCATAAAAATACAGATGTACAAAGACAATATGAGCATAAATATTATCCTTCATACTAGTCAATACTAGAAACTAGACATTTTCTTAACAATGTGGTTCAGAGTACATAACCTTTAATGAAGACTTTAAAAAAGGATATCAGTTTTTAATTACAAAGTACCTCCTTGGAAAGAAAGAAGAGAATTCAGTGTTATCTTTTTTAATACCTGTGCAATGATCTCTGTGAGGTTTCACAAGCAACTATGGACTTCAGGGCTTTATTTGTTGACCAGGCTGAATCACAAGGGAAATACTGACATACCGGAATCATTGTGAGGAGTCTCTGTAAAGTCATCACATACCTGAGTTGTGAACAGTACTTGTGCTTCCCTCAGGGTGGTGGACAGATTGGAGAAATTGTGTTTGTGCTATCATATGATTTACATGGTCCATGAAGTTGGAGTTGGAGCTGTGTAGAACATTAACCTGGCACAAGAGAAAAATAAGAGATCAGATATTAAAAAGTGCTCTATATTCCAAGCCTGCTGGCTCCATACATTACATTGAACTGTGAAGTCCATCAGCAGATAGGAACATTATTACACAGATCTTAAAGGCCAAATTCACTTTTTTTATGCCAGTGAAAAAATACACAGGTTAATATTTTTCTCATTTCTAGCATTAAAAATGCATTTTAACTTTTCTAGCTGTAGACTATGAAGTGGCATAGAAAAGGATTTTTTTTTTATTTACCTGTCTGGATAAGTAGTGACTTTTTTTTCTTCATGCTAATTAGCTTTTAGATGTTCCCTGAAAGTTAGTGGGAGATTTGTCACTCCGAACACTGAGAATGTATCAAACTCATTGCGTTTAAAACCAAAACAGTAAGAGAGAATTAAAAGAGGTTTCAGTTTTTCCTGTGTCCCTACTTTCAGTGTGACTTTCTTTGAAGATACCATATTAGTTCTCTGTCCTACTAACAGTTATAAGCAAAAACCCTGAAGTCATTGTCAGGGTTCCAGAATGCTAAAGTGAAAAGAATTTTCAATACAATGTAAACATGTAAAAGCTTTCAGAACCAATTATTAAGGTTTGAGCCAATTGCTAAGAAGGTCCTGCCCTTTCCTGTAGCTACTTGGTACCTGGGTTCTAGGCTGGATAAGCTGGTTCTTCAGACTAGGTCCACGATTCCTGCTGAGGTAATTCTCAGTCCCTGAGCCACTGTGCTGCACTAGACTTAGTACCAGCACACATAAGCTCAAGAGAGCTATCTAAATATTCCTGTGGTAACTGACCATGTCTGGGTAGTGGATCCAAGAGAATACGACAGATGAAGTCCATCCTGCACATTCGTTACCCGTATACTGACTTTCCTCCTCAAAGAAATCTGAAATCATGTAAATTACCAGGAATTATCTCCATCTGATGAAGAACAAATTATAAAACTTATTGTAAGGGGGTAGTGCTTGGAAAAACTGAAAAGGTGAATGCTGCAGGAGAGAAAAGTATGTCAGGTTAAGTAAAAGAATAACTAGTCTAAGGAAAATAATGAGGCTGTAATGATTTACTTTCGAGCAGGTGCATAAATCTTCAAAAAGACCTGTAGGAGATTTTACATTATGGAAAAACAATGGTGATGACCTTAGCCTCCATTCTGTTTGAACAGGAGTAATTGCCTGTGTTAGTGGAGTTCAGTAGAAGGGTCATCTCCTTACATATGCAGCAGAATAGAGAGACCCACATTGAGGAATGCCCACAGAAGTCAATTTCCTATTTGAATGGAACTTAGAATTTTTACTCTAATAGTTACCAGAATGTGTCAATCATTTTACATATTTTAAAGAAAACTCGATGTCACTGAAGATAAGGCTAGTGCTCAGCCTCAATGCTGGAAAAGAAAACTTGACTAAATGATTGCTTACCTCCAAGTTAAATTCATTGCTAATGTAACGTCCATTTAGCTCTGAGCACTTGACTCTGAACTTTCTGTCAAAGGTGGCTGAAGTGTACCAGTTGCGATATCGAATCTGCCGAAGAACCTGTTCATAGTTGTGCATGCTGTCCACACCTGGAATGGTGGTAGAGCAGTAATAACCTCAAGGACACGCTATGTAACAAATGCTCTATACAGTACAGAAGAAATGAAATGTTCACAGAAAATACAAAATTTGGCAGAATGATCTGAAAATGGAAGTGCATCAAATATTCCCTGATAGAGCCTCTGGCTGATACTACGTGAGAATAGTTTTTGGAAATGAATGTAGGTCCATAATGGAGAAGAACAAATACAACAGCAAAGATTTAGAATAAATTATTTAGTAATTGAAAAAAATGGCCAATGAGTTACCAGCACTGTGCAGGAGCACTGAGGAATCCCCTCATTCCCATGTTCCACTGTGCTTGACCACAAGAACCCCCACATTTAAAGAAAGCAGTGTTGCTGTTTTCCTTATTTGGGGAGTAGCAGGAGGGATGCTGAGATCAGGACAAAGCTGTGCTGTATTCCAAAGGATAAACAGAGCACACCCAGACATCAAGAAGTGACTACGCTTTTTGAGACACAGTCTCTCCTGGAATATTTTCTGGCTAGTACATCACAGATTTCTGTCTAATTTCTTTCACATTAGTCCTTTCATTCCAGTAATGTAATAGTTGGTGGGAAGAAATAAGGGAAAGCAAAGTCCATGAACATACCATAGATTGAATATCCTGCTGTGGAATTTGTGGCATCTAGATGTTTTCCTTGAAGCTCCACATGATCTAGTTCTAAACACTCTTGATCAGGGTCTAGATCTGCGCCAATCACCAAAATATCACAGAAATCTAAGTTGTGGAGCATTTCCTCTAATATCACTGGCTTATTGGCTGCGAACACATAGCATATACCATGAAAAAAAGAAGAAAGAAACTAAGATAAATGAGCACAGAACAGCTCATTCATTTTATGTGCTTTCAGTTTTTGCAAAGATGGCTGAATTGTTTTTTGCTAATATTAAATACAGCATACTTGAAGCAAATCAAAAGAGAAGTGTCTTGCCTGTTCAGGTGCTATGATGATGATGGCCTACAAATACCTAGTGACACAGATAGATAGAAAATACATATAAATGCAATCAAGAACAGTACTGGAAGTAGAAAACTGCAGTTTGATCCTGGAAATAAGTTCATGTAAACAATTCTGTTTTTCAATACTGTATTGATACCAGGTTGGTATCACACATTCATTCTTTGCTCAAGGAAAACCAAACTGGAAAAATACATGTCAAATATCTACACTTGGATGATTCTCTCAGTTAGTTACTCTAGGGTCCATAGAGAATTTGCATTACAAAGAACATGGCCATCTATCAAAGGTATCATAAATGGCAAGATCCTGTGTTGGGTGGCTTGGAGAAATTGAGTTGTAAACTGACTATCCTTCAGTACATACAATTAAAAAAAATAATTCTGTTGCTGGAAAGAGTAGCATATTGATTTAATATTTTAATTCTTTGGCCAGCTTAACACTGAGTGTCTGGCAAGACTGCATAACCAGCTCCCTGAGGGTACCGTAGACACAGAGACTGGAATCTTGGAACTTAGTGCCCATTTTGCAAATTTAATTTTAGGGGGTATATGGGGTAGGAAGGCACAGACAGAAAAGGCTTACACCCTGGATTCCCAACTCCTGGTACAGTGAATTTGGGTATCATCTGAACTCTAGGTACAGCTTTAACTTACTTACTTATCCAAAAATGCAGACGCAACTCAGATTTGCAAGATAGGCAAATCCGAATATTTCTAAGGCTGATTGAGTTGGACTATTTCATGGGAAGCTATGAGAGATAGGCAAGAGCTGGGCTGCAGAGCTAGGGAAAAGCCTGGACTGGTCAGCTTTACTGCTCTGGCTGTCAGTGGGCAAACAGGAAATGTACGGGAAGCAATTTTACCTGTTGGTGGGGTCCCACTGATTTCTCTACTGAAGCAGGACAAGCAGCAACATACTGTCATTCCAGGTGCCCTCTTGCGGGTAAATAAGGCCTCAGAGCCATAGTCATGCTGCTGCCTGTGGCAACTGCCTGATCTGCCTTTGATGAGAGACAGACCTAATTGGTCCTGTGACTGGGAATACACAGTGACTAAATCATCAGCCTTCTCAGCCTTGCCATGTGCATCTCTGCTACAGTCATGATTGATGATCAGGTTATGTGAATTCCCAGTAAGTGGAAAAATAGCTATAGGTAGATATAGGTCAAGATGTATAGCTGTCTTTGCCTTTGTCAGATAATATCTGGGCTGTGAGAAATAATGATTCAAGCTTATAAGGCAGGAATTGAGACTTAGAATTCAACAATCTTTTGCAAAACACAATTATTCCCAAAGCCAATTATTAGCTGTCCTTTTTAACCACTCTTGTTGGAAATAAGCAAGAGATGGCACATTAGGAAGTGCCTGACTTTCAAGGAATTAAACAGTAGTTTAAGAAATGCTGCTATGGTCCTTTTGAAGATGAGACTCAGGCTTTTTAGGTTACAAGGTGCTACAACAGTAATTATGTCAATTGGGAAAAATTGGGGTAGATGAAATTTATGAACTGAACTGGAGGGCAGTAGTTCCTAAATCACTGAACAGTTTTGAAGCTGTCATAACATTTAGGGACATGGACTGTCATACATGTATTTTATCTTAAGTGATGGATAATGAGTGCTCTTTTCTATGCAGGAATTCATTTTTTTACATATATTAATTGTATGCAGTTGATATTATGATATGATACACTTTGCAGCATTCAGAGGACAGATGCAGTTTCAGGCAAGTGATAAGCAGCATTATTACAGAGCACGGCTTCAGGGAATCCATGCCTCTGCACTTGTACATCATTAGTGATTTAGCCTTTTCAAGAGATGTACATCTAGTCACTGCTTATTCTAGTCCAACAAATATTGTTTGGAATGATTCCTCAGATTACTAGGTTTTTCATTTACCTTGTACACAAACATCCAAAAGAAAGATTCCTTTATAGACAATTTTAAACCTTATTTATACTTTTGAACATTTACCTAGTGTCAAATAATAACACACACATTGCTCAGCATTAGAATAAACTGTCGTCATTGAAAAAAATCCTTGCAAATTATTATATTTACTTTATATAGGTGGGAAACTGAGGCACAATATTACTCTCTCAAGTGTCACCCACAAGTAGCAGAGCTGGAAACATAACAACAGACTAAAACTCCAGCTATTAGTCAATTACTGCTTTCCACTTTATCAGTACAATTAACAAAATTCTGTTACAAATAGAGACACTCTAATGAAAGTATGTTATTCAATGGAATATATAAAGAAGAGAGGAAAGGAATTATTCTGAATTAGGCAAGACACTAAAATGCAATGGCTGCTTTTTTTGAAGCACATACTGATCTATCACTATTTAACACATATGTCAATGTGTTTAATTGCATGTTTTCAGTACAGCATTATTGCTGCTTAATGTTGCCTAAATTAAGTGAAGTGACTTCCTTTGTGTTACCTGTTTGTACTATCCTTTAAAAAAACGTGAGGGGTCACGTTACAGAGTAAGTGATAATATTTAAAAGAAGTCCACAAACCTCTATCATGTTCTTTTAAGTCCACTGGATGCTCCATTTTAGTGACCGTGCTGACAATTCTGATGTCAGGTAACAAAATAACACCTCTTTCACTTTCAAATTGCGCAGCTGGTCTAGCAAAGTGGTCCATCCCACTTATTGTAATCTTGGGCTCATTGGCCTGAAATACCATTACATACGCATCTATATCTGGGATACTAATGCAGACATCTTCACCAAAACATCTGAAAAATATATTATTCATTAACTGCATGTAACACATTGCACATCAGAGGTGTGTGGCACTTGCACTGCCCAAAACCCACCTGATGGCTCTCATCCTTTTGTATTGTCTCAGATCAGTCTATTTCATACTTTGACACTGCCACATGTAAGGACAGGCATCTGTACCACCATGGACATAGGCCAGCAGTGACAGTAACAGCTCGGTTCCTCTCATCCCCTCCCACATTTACAACACTGAAATTATGTAGGGACAGCTTAGCAAACAGATTCATGACAAGCTCAGTCTTTAGTAAGGTCACTACGAGAATAATATTTTGATGTTTAACTGACATTTAACAAAGTACTGAATGGTTAAAAAAATTAAAGTTAATTAGATGATAACAACTAACTTTAGTAAACTTAGCATTAAATTCTCAAAGGGATATCTAACGCATATAATATGGCTATCTTGTCATGTTTGAAAAAAAGGGCCTAATTATCCATTTAAATTGGACCCATTATGAACTCATCCTGGCACCCCCCCAGTATTTACTGGGGACAAAAGGGGCCTATATTAGCATTTTCATCTGAATCAGCACTGTGCTTTGGAAGTGAATCTCCTGACAAACTCTACCTCACTTCATCTTGGCACAAGGCTTGGGCCAGCCTTGGAGTGTGCAAACTGGACTGCTTCCAGTGAAACTACATCAGAAGATGCTCTCCAAACACTTAGTGTGGTCAGCCCACAGCACTAGACTAAATCTAGTACTTAGTAAGAACTGTACGTGCAGTAGATGGGAGTTCATAGAAATGATGGTTATTTTTACTCTGAAGATTTGCTTTCACTGCACTGTACAACTTGTTGTAACAGAGATGTACCCCAGGGGAGCTCAGGAGTGGCAGATGGCTCTTTGGTTATGTAGAACTGTAAATATTATTGTGCAGGTTCTGTCACTACTGTTGCATGCAAATGAAAGGACACAGATTTCTGTTTAACACCCAACACCAGTACTTCAGTGTTGACAGCCATATAAGGATACGGACAGACAAAGACTATTTCAAGCATAGCTACAAAAACTGTTTTTGCAGCTATGTCGTCTGTTAGATGTAATAGGCCTGCTTTAAAAAGTCATGGCTCTAGATATCTCAGAAGAAACTATAACTTTTTAAAATGAACACTAAAATAAGAATGCAATAAATGCAAGTACTGTTCAGTCCAAACTGTATGCTCCAAACTATAAACAGAATGCAAGTAAATTACATTAACAAGAAAAGTTTCTTAAAAGGACAATATCAAAAGAAAACCACAACATAAATCAGCATAAAAGTAAATGAAATTCATCCTTTATGCTCAATAATGTAAAAGTACAATATAGCAATGTAATTTAGCCAAAATTCCTCTTTTTACATGTCCAAAGAAAAAAGTAAATAATTAAAAATATTCGTAATCTAATCAGTTCAGCTGAAGTATAACTTACTGGACTTTAGATGAGACTTTGAGACGTCTTACGCCTGCAGTAGGAAACTGTCTAGAGTTGATGTATGAGACCTTTCGGAGAGCTTGGTTTATATTCTCAATGTCATCTCCTTCCATGACAAGGACTGACTGGGAAGGGTTGAAGTGATACTAAGGTAAAGGCATATAATTAGTATTTAAGGTACCAGGTTCAGAGTACAAAATAAGATATTTTTAAGGAATGCCGCACAGATGTAAGTTTAAAATGTAATGATTTAAGAAAAAAAAAATCTTAGTAGCTATTGTTGGCTGAATCCACATGTTGTTCCCCAAAACATGTACTCGTATCAGTCATCTAGTTTGTATCTGAATAACTACTATTATAATTAATTAATTAATTAATTTTATAGTAAACTAATCCCAATTTGCTCTACTTTACCCAGCTTTATCAACTTTGCTGATACTATTTCTGCAGCTGTAAATTTCAAAAACTTAACTTACTGTCATCATTATTATTACAATGTAATTTCTTTAGATTAAACACATCCCGCATATAAAAATATTGGCTTAAACCAGAGTAGCATGCAGAAGCATATTTTTCCTGTTTTCTGTTCAGTTTTACCCTGGCCTATCTTTCTGAGATATATTTCAACATGAATGAACAAAACAATTATAACATTTGCCTCCTACATCTTCATTAATGTCAGGGAATTCTCCTTTCTCTGTCTCATGATCAATAAGGGTGTCATGATTTAAGATGGAGCTGCTACTTGCACAAAGCCAGCTGCTCATTTGAGCCAACAAACCTTGCAAAGGCAATGGCTATTCTTGTAGCCCTGATCCTTCTCTAGTCCACTACATTGAACACAATACAGTCTTGCTGACCAAGGAACATCATTGCTACTGTATTCACATAGCAAATGATTGATTTTATCTTCATCATAATTCATGCCGATTCCATTTTTTTTGTCTGTTAATTGGTTCAGCAAACCATCGGCATTGCAGAGAAAACCAGATTAACCCCCTTGATTTTGTACCCTACTGTTGTCAGCACAAAACACAAAGAAATGCACCCTTCTCTCACATGCAGTCCTTTCCCAAAGCTAGATATTGATTATATGAACATGTTCTATTATATACAGACAATGGTGGTCAACACTTCCTTACAATGAGAAGGGTTAAAAAGCAAAAGAGCAAATAGACTGTGAAGAACAGAATGAAGCACAGGGTTCTCTGTTGAACAGAACACTGAGGACTGGATTTAAAGCTTGTGCAGGAAGATCATAACACACTGAAGAGTATTTTTTTAACAAAGAGGAGGACTAACATGAGTCACAGCTTGCATACACTTCTTTTTCCTTTCTGTAAGCTAGCAGTAGTAGAGAATAAAATTAGCAAAAGGAGACTCTAGCTAGCTAGTTAACTTAATAGCTCAGCTGCCAGAACAGCTGGAATACTGCCAAAGGGACTGGAGAAAGCCCTCGTCTGAGCCATTTTTGTCTTTCTCATTAAAAAAGGCTAAAAATAGCAACAGTTTAGATAGTGTTTCTGAGAGGTGTTACAGATATCTGAAAATTAGGCTGCAGACAAAAAAAGTCCAACACTACTGTGTCAGAAACTGTATTTCAGCTGCATTGCTCTTTCTTAGGCGGCTAAAGAGTGAAGTTTCATGAATCCAAACTGCCCAGCAGAATCACCTTCCAACACCAGTTTGCCAACATTGAATCTGCTAAGCGCCAGGTAAATAGCCACACAGAACCTATCATCTGTGCAACTGTCATGCACACTTGTCTGAGCTCAGGTATGTTTATTTTTGACACCAGAAACCCTTTCTCTTTATTAATCTTCTGTTCAAGGTCAGGTGCCAACTGTTCTGCTTTCATCTGAGCCTCTTCCTGTCAGCCCCAATAAGAAACCCTACCACAATCTGTCTCTGACTGCTTCTTTCATTTTTGTCTTCTGCTGTTTTACTGACTGTTGAACTTGCTGAGGAAGTAAAAATGAAAACAGTAACTTTAAAAGAACACTATACCTCATCTGTATTTAGGAAAATGAAAATGTTTTGAAGTTTGGTGAAAGAAAGAAAAGGCAGAAAATGATCCCTCACCTTCATTTTCCCCACTGCACTGCTAGTACAGTAAGGAAGTCAATCACCCATGCTGGAGTAGCAGTGGGTGGCATAACAGTGATTTTTCCAAGCCCATGAAACAAGGCTACTCAAATATTGTCAAGCTTCAGAGTGTGACAATAGGGGAGGAATCACTATGCTTATAAGCACCATGGACCAAATGTACACTGCTTTAAATCATGTAAAATCCCAGCAAAGAACCTACTGGTAGGCATATACACTTGTGTTCCAGAAAACTCTACCTGTTTGTATGCATTGTCTTTTAAAAATAGTTTTTACTCATAAGTGTGTCATTTTGCTGGGAGAAGCAACCATATGAAATTCTTAATGATGTCCTTGGTAGGATGAAGAAAACAAAATTCTTTGGGGTGTTTTGCTCACATGTAAAAGCTAGAGCTAGCAAAATTCCTCCTTACATTTGCACTTCCAATTTTCATTTTTACCCTTGTTTTCAGAAAACGTATCAGTTATACTACACCACTGCAACTTATTACCTAGACAGACATTTGAGTGTACTTCAGGTCAGTCTCCTATCTTGTACAATGAAAAAGTTTAGCTAATAAAATGTTGTGCATGGCTCTTCTACTGCATGCTCTAGGTCAAGGGTTACAGCACCATCCTCTTCCCCACTGAAAAACAACGCACGAAAAAAAAACCTGTGCAGTTTCACAGGATGCATAGCCTGCAGCCAAAGTACCAGCCAAATTCCAGTTTGAATTTGAAGCTCAGCTCCTTTGGAAGATGGTATTGTGATTTGTGTGCTAGGAAACAGCTTAACAGTGTGTTTAACAGCGTGTTTACACATTAGGCAGAAGAACACCTGTCATCTAATACTGGTATCAGTAAAGAGAAACTGACAATGCATCTCATGTAAGCATTATAGAAGTTATAGTCAAGATCTTATATGTATCCAAAAGAACAGAACTTGTCTTAATGAATGCAAAGCAACCTGGCCACTACATCAACTGAAACAGGATTTCCCTCTGTTGTTCTCCACTCTTAGAAAAAGTGTTACAATATCAGTAGTCATATGCATAATGAAGATGGATAATGATTTATATGCAAATGTAAAATTTTCTTTTCTTGACTTTAGGTTTTTTTATTGTCCAATTTTCGCGGCCCATAATATTTCCTCTTGGAACACACTCTGAATTTTTCAATACTATTGCGTTGGGACTTCTTTTGGAGTTGCCTCTAGATGAAAGATATTCCACTTATGTTTTCCATTGCTTTAAAGCTACTTGAGATCAAGATTCAGTAATTCTTTGGAATCATATCTATTTCTGTAAAGCTACCAAAATAAGCATGAGAACACGACCTGGCAATTCTTATGGACTCTGAAAAATCAGCAGTGCCTTACTTTCTGAGCATCTAGCTTTGCAATAATGGAAATATTTTTCTCTGTAGTGTCACAGCTCTTCTACTGTTCTGCTTTTTCTTTGCACAACTTTATGGGAAATCACATTGCTTCTGCAAGTGCATTTGTTACTATGTGTACTCTACTTTGGGCTTTCCACTTCATAAATCGGCTCTAAATTTTTATCAAAGATTATGTCAGTTCATCCCTCACCTTTATTCCTTGGCCAAGACTCTCAAGAGAATTAATATCCAGACCTTCCTTGCAGGCCTGCAAACAGGAAATCACTTTCTGACTCTCAATTTTGCCTGGCCGGATAGTGAGACTAGCCAGGCTGCCGTGGAAATACTGAGCAAATCTGGGCTTGGTGACTTCACCTCCTGCAAGAAAGAGAATATAAAATGATTATTGATACCAATGTGCAAACCACACATCTAATAATTCGCTTTATGTTTTAACACATTTAAAGAATTTATATCCTTTTTAGCCAAGTATATTTGAGATCCCATTTATTGTGATAAGTGGAATTGCTTTGTGGGTTGTTGGGTGGTACCTAGTAGCAGCCTGTCTTTAAGATTCTTGTCAGTGGTTTTCCAGTACTGTATTCAGGTGTTTATAAAGCTGTGATAACATACTCTGAGATGAAACATAGCTTCCAAAACCTGTGTCCAAGGAAGCACAGAATTTTCAAAAATGAATTGATGAGATTATTGAAGTGATCAAACATGATTTTTTTAAAAAAAATTTAAGGTCCAATGATTATTTATACAGAAACTGTACTTGTACACTTTCTATTACAAAATCACTTACACTGCCTTTGCCTTTGTCCTCCAAAAAACATACTACCTGAAGTTCTTAGATGTGCTAAGAGTCTTGGCTATGTGTAAGCAAACTGCCACACTCTCTACAGTTGTCTCTAAGGATATGGTGGAAATTCACAGCAATGAATGCAGGCCAATGCACAGCCCTATGCTAAAAGGCTTATAGTGCTTCCCTTACCCAAGGCAGCTCATTTGGTGCTGTATCGGGTCTTGTCACTGTACGTTGCGTTAGGCCCTCTAGCTATGCTCTATTCAGTTTCACTCTAGGCAGCTTAGGAAGACTGATCTTTAGGAGTTGTCAATAAAATGTGATTACGTACTGCCTGCACCAGTGATCATAGCATCTAAATTACTCTTGGGTTATTTAGTGATTTACCTGTCCTCCTCTAGGAGAATTTTTAGAGCTTGTCTTTCCTGCAAGTGCTAGCTGTATCAGTGCACATGAATTACTGCCTACCTTGAGCCTGAGAGGACTAAGAGAGCCATGCAAACTAATTGAATTAGCAGTTGATGAGCTGTTGTAATTGGTAGATAACTCCTCTCTACAGTGTTTGTAGCGTTAGTGTCAACCAACCTATTTCTGCCAGGCAAGCTAGCTCAAGCTTGAACTTTAACATGAAGGTTTGTGTGTGGATTGGGGTTAGGATAGGGATGAAGTGGCAAATTTTCTTTAGGCTGATGTTGCTACCTAAAAGCCTGAAAAACATCACTTCTAGCCTGTGCAGTATGAGCACTATGAAGAAGACTTGTTATTTTATATAGTGAAGAAAATACACAATGGTATACTGAGAGAAAAGAAGGTGTCTAAGCAGGCTGTTTCTTCATAAAAGTAGACAGGTTTTGTTCTTTTTTGTTAACATTGCAGCACAAACTGCCTCTCTTTTTACCCCAAAGAAAGATCCTCAAGGAGAGATTATTCTTCTCCACTCTTCAATTCATTTGTCCATTTTACAGAAAACTTCCTCTGGGCAGAATTTTTTTGAGGTTTCATAGAAAATTTAAAGTATGCAGCAGCTAAAGTGCAGAATTAGTTTGTATTGTAATTTTCTCCTTTCTGTTACTTACCAAGACAATTACTTGGTAAATAGTGCATTATGGGGGCATGGCTTTTCAGCAAAAATGTTGTTATACTTATCTGTTTACATTGTCTTTAAAAGCACATGTTGCCACTAATACAGCAGCAATGTATCTGGACAGAAAAAGGTAAGCCAAATTAAAAAAAAAATAAAAATGCAAACCTCTCCCTAAAAAGGACACAAAGAGAGAAAACCAGGTAAGAACTTACAGAAGAAGAAGGGAATCACATTGTGCTTTGAAGCTTCAAATTCTCATATCCCTAACAGAATTCTGAAGACAGCAAGCGCCAAGGCTAAACCACCAACACTAAACCTGGAGCTTTGAAATTTAGAAACCTATGGTAAGTCTGCCAGTAGATCTTAATAGTTCTGAGGAGATGCAAAACAAGAAGCAGTCTCAGTTAAGTTAATGTATTTAAATGTGACACTAGCTCATTAAAATGTATAAAGGACTAGACAAGAAGCTAGAACAAAAAATTCGGTGCTGTGGCTATGCCTGACAGAAACAAGCAGGATAAACCAGTTGAAGTAAAGCTACAGAGCAACATGACTGGTGCTTACATCCATGAATAGGAATTTCATGTTTGGATTTTTTTTTTAATCGTTTTCTTTTTTTGATTGATTCGGTTCTTTCGCTTTGGACTAGTTCTTCTCTGGTGTCATTGACAAAGCACTTACAATTACATTACTAGGTCATTTACAATGATACAATAATTGCCCATCTGCAACTACAGGCACTACAAAAACAGTGAGTATTTGAAGAACGGGCTTGTGTACTTACCCTGTTCACAGGACTAAGGTTGGGTTTTGTGCAGATATATAGATTGATTTTGGACCGTAAAGGAGGTGATGTAATCTTTGTTCTGGAGAGGCTATCAACTACTATGTAAAAAAAGCAAGTATTTCAAGAATATGCGAGTGAAGAATAGCTGGGACTAGCTAGTATCACGTTATGTCACTAGAGAAAATCTGCAGAACTATGACCATGGTTACAACAGGGTGATTCAGGCTGGGACAACTGCACTAGAACAACTAACTGATAGCAGAGTCTGAAGAGACACTGACAGATGATACAGTCTGTCCCCTAGCCCCAAGACAAGAACAACTGTACTTAATCCATTCTTGAGAATTGCCTGAGCTGTTCTAAACTCTTCTGAAGACAGAAGCTCCCCAAGCAATACACTCTAATGACCACTGACCCCTGGAGTTAGTTGGAAGTTTATTCCTAATAGGGAATGTGAGCTGTCAAAATATGCTATGTCTTCCCCTTTCCTTTACCAGGCTAAACACAGCCTTTTCTTTACATCGTCTACCTAACACTGTAGACTATGATCATCCCTGTTGCTTTTCCTCGAACTCCTGGTATTATCCATTAACCATAACCCAGCGTTCTTCTCAACATTATACGTGGTTTACATAGGACATGCCTGTTAATCCAGGGCAGCGTGAATACCAGCTTTTTCCACATGAAAAAAACATGAGCACTTAAAGAGAGAATACTATCTCACACTTTAATAGAAAAAATAGACTGTTAAATAAGCCTTCCATAAGCACCTTCTACCAGAGTTAAAGACAAAATTATATACCTGCCAACTGTATTCTTGAAGGTGAACAGAAGTCATTATATCTGACTCTTATCACAGCTGCTTGTAATTGCAGCATGTTGACATTTTGATATTCTTCTACCTCAGCATTTCAGAATCTTCTCAGCTCAGTGGAGTATGTTGGCTTGCTGATATGTTTCATTTGCCAGTAATTATTAGATTGCAAATGGACAAAAATCCAATGCAATAGAATTGGGAAGCAAAAACCAAGACTCTCCTAAAATTGAAGGAATGGCCTAAAGCCAATCTGCTACAATCCTGCATTCTAGCTTTGACAAAAGGAATTACTTGGAATATAGTTTTTCAATCTCAAAAAATGTAAGAAGAAAAAACTGTCAGAATAAATTGAAACTCCTCAGCAATTGGCTGTTTTACTCCTGTCTGTATCAGTGTTTTATTCATGCTTGGTTCTACTATACTAGTATGTTTGAATGCTGTCTTTCCTTCTGCTTCTGCAAACTAATAGTCTTCAAGTTTTTGACCTCAGCTTCTCAGCGGGTGCAAATCTAGCCCAGGACAGCCAATCTCCAAATCCTAGTCACTCTAAATTTCTTAGCTCTCAAGATTAGATAAGTATGAATATATTTAATCCACCATGAAAGTGGCAATTCTGTAGCATGTTAAAGCACAGTGCATAACTGTAGCTAATGCTGATAGTAACATTTTTACAGAATATTATCCAAATTCTTCTAAATACTGATCTTTTCAAATAGAGATCCTTTGACCCTCAGCATGATACATATCATGCCTGTGCAGCTCCACATGCAGCTGATAGGCAGCTCAGAGCCACTTACTTCATTGGGCAGGAGGAATGCTCAGTTCCATTGTCTGAATTTGACTCATCACTGAAATTACCAAATTACCACATGCTAAGAAACAACTGAGGAAAAGACATAAGCTACTCCCAAAAGCTCTTACTGCTCTAAGATACTTTGAACTTACCTCTTGGTTCTGACACCAAACTGAGCCTAAGCAACAATATTTTTGAGATAATGAGGATGATCTAAATAGATTACACAAGCCTCTAGAGCAACAGTTCAAAGAACAAAGTGGATCTCCAGTCATCATGGTCTTGAGGTAATCCAAGTGTCCTAAAATTTTTTCTACTTCCCAATGTCATGGTGTGGTGAAAAATAAAAGTGTTCTGTAACACAGTTTCTTCCAGTTTCTACCCAGAGGTCAGGCCACCCAGTTAACCTAGATTGCCTCAGCAAGTTTCATGGGATTTCTTGCTGTCAGGGTCTTTTTGCCATTTCTTACAAGTGAGATATAGCTCATCTCCACTATGATGTTTAGAATCAAGACCTGAGAGAATAAGAAAACCTACTCCTCAACTGTGTTACATGTATTTCACTTAGCTCTACGTTTATTGATTACTATGGATTAATATACTATGAGTGCTAATTCTTGGGGGATAGTTAAGTAGTTAGGACTTAGCTGAATGGTGCGACCAACAAAGGAAAGTGGAACCTTCCCTACTGTCAGTCAGGGAATTAGGCTGATGTCTGTAATACAAAAAAGACTGAAACAACACTATAGAACAACATCACTTAGTCTCATTACAGACCCTTGCATGACATATTTTTGAAGCTACTGGGTTTTTTTCACTTCTTTAAATGTAGCTGTTGTGGTCACCATCACAGTTGTGAGGCAACACAGGCCACAGTGTTATTCAGACCTTGGTAATAAAATTGTGCATCGCTTTTTCCACCTGACCCAGCACTCACATCCACTCCCAAAGTCTGGCAGATAAAGTAGGATGGATGTTGGCTTTTTGGCATTAATTCAATCCTTGTAATGGTAAGGTGGTGTCAACAGACTGTGGGAGGCATCCAGAGGAACTGTTGACATACATAATTATTCACTACAATGCTGTTCA